TGAATCTTTTAATTAATAAAAGTAAATTCAAGGCGTTCCCAATAAAAATAACAGTAAAAATTCTTCGTGTATGAAATAAATATATTTAAGGCTTCACTACTTTAAAGTTAACATTTTTTTCTTCCCTGTGTACCTGAGCAATAATTGAACTGTAACTGTGAAAAACAACAATGAAATATAATTGTATCCCATTGAAATAGTGAAGGTAATTTTTACCTATGTATGAAAAAATCTTTTAAAATAATATATTAATATATTCATATTAATGTTCGTAAATCGATTTACACTCATAACGGGCTGAAATAAAAACAACAATTTATGAGGACACTGTATGAATGAAAATTTGAAGGTAATGTTTAATGTAATCTTTTGAAAAACTGGCAAATAAAATGATATATTAATATATTTAAATAATGTTCGAATAAGCTAATAATTCATAATAACAAATGAAATATCTTATATCCTCACTGCATTGTTAAAAATTTGAATATCATTTTTTTTTCTTTCTTTCTTTCTTTCTTTCTTTCTTTCTTTCTTTCTTTCTTTCTTTCTTTCTAATGGTTTGTCTTTGAAAACCTTACTGATGAATTCTTAATTTTCCATTTGAATAACCTAGTTCATGATTGAATAAGCTCATGGCGAGTTCTACAACAAATATCTTTTTAAAATATCCGTAAAATTCCCCTGTCGCATTGTTAAATATTTGAGCTTAATAACCTTAAAAAAATATTGCAAGACCTGTTGATAAATAAGGAATTCTATTTGGGAAGTTCATGACCTTCATAATCTTGTTTAGAGTTCCTTCGACAATAAAATCCGACTGAATAGGTCGAGTTAAATACTTGAGCTTAACAACTTCCGAGGTGTGTTTTGCAATAACATTCTAACAGAATTCTTTGGGGAACTATATTTCTTTCTTTTTTCTTTCTTTCTTTCTTTCTTTCTTTCTTTCTTTCTAATAATGAATTAGCAAGATTGTTATATTAAGAAAAAAATAGGACTGGATGAAATGGACAACTCAGTGGGTGCCCCTTCCTAGGGTGTTTTTTCACTGACATCTAGATCTTTCTCATGCTTATTTTTTCTTTCTTTCTTTCTTTCTTTCTTTCTTTCTTTCTTTCTTTCGCTTAAACAGAACATCTTCATTAATTATGAATACTGATTGATATATTAAGAAGTCTGTTTTCTTTTGAAAATATATGAAATGGACAACCTTTTTTCTAACTTTATTTTCTTTCTTCTTTCTTTATTTTCGCTCACTTCATTCTTTTCAATTTTGTCCATATCATTTTCCTTCCGCGATCAAAACAGAATATCTTATCATTATCAATTTTTCTTTTAAACTAAACTTTGTTAATTGCTATCATTTTTCTTTTCTTCTTCTTTCCTTCCTCTTTTCTTTTCTTTTCTTCTTTTCTAATCCTGTTTTATTTTATTTCTTCTTTCTTTCTTACATTTAATCTAATTTTCTTTTTTTTAACTTCATTTTTTCTTTCCTTTTCTTTCTTTTCTTCTTTTTCTTCTTTCTTTTCGCTCGACTTCATTCTTTCAATTTTGTCCATAGTTAACAATCTGTTCAGTAGCCACCGATTCCTTCCTCGATTTAATCTAATCTTTTTCAGTAACTATCTTTTTTCTTTTCTTTCTTTTTTTCTTTCTTTCTTTCTTTCTTTTCTTTCTTTAATCTTGTTCAGCCATCAGATTCTTCCTGCCATTTAATTATCAATTTTTTTCTTTAAACCATCTGTTAATTGCTTTTCTTTCTAATTTGTTTTTCTTTTTCCTTTCTTTTTAATTTCTTTTCTTTCTTTTTCTTTTCTTTCTTTTTCTAACCCTTCTTTTCTTTCTTTCTTTCTTTCTTCTTTCTTTCTTTCTCTTTCTTTCTCTAATTTGTTCATAGCCATCGATTCCTTCCTGCCATTTAACTAATCTTTTCAGTAACTATCATTTTCAGTTCTTTCATTTTTCTTTCTTTCTTTTCTTCTTTCTTTTTTCTTTTTCTTTCTTTCTTTCTAATTTTGTTCATAGCCATACAGATTCCTTCCTGCCATTTAATCTAATAGTAACTATCATTTTTCTTTCTTTTCTTTCTTTCTTTCTTTTCTTTTCTTTCTTTTCTTTTCAGTAACTATCATTTTCTTTCTTTCTTTCTTTCTTCTTCTTCTTTCTTTCTTTCTTGTTCATAGCCACTGTGATTCCTTCCTTAGCTATCGAATCTAACTTTTCAGTAACTATCATTTTCTTTCTTTCTTTTTTCTTTCTTCTTTCTTTCTTTCTTTCTTTTTCTTTTCTTTCTTTTTTCTAATCTTGTTCATAGCCATCAGATTCTTCCTGCCATTTAATCTAATCTTTTCAGTAACTATCATTTTTTTCTTTCTTTCTTTCTTTCTTTCTTTTCTTCTTTTCTTTCTTTTCTTTCTTTTCTTTCTTTTCTAATCTTGTTCATAGCCATCAGATTCCTTCCTGCCATTTAATCTTTCATTAATCTAATCTTTTCAGTAATCCATTATTTTCTTCTTTCTTTCTTTCTTTTCTTTCTTTCTTTCTTTTTCTTTTTTCTTTCTAATCTTGTTCATAGCCATCAGATTCTTCCTCCCATTTTAATCTAATCTTTTCAGTAACTATCATTTTTTTTCTTTCTTTCTTCTTTCTTTCTTTCTTTTCTTTCTTTTCTTTTCTTTTCTTTTCTTTTCTTTCCAATTCCTTGTTGCCATTTAGCCAATCTTTTCAGTAACTATCATTTTTCTTTTCTTTCTTTCTTTCTTTCTTTCTTTCTTTCTTTCTTTCTTTTTCTTCTTTCCCTTTCCTGCCATTTAATCTAATCTTTTCAGTTTCATCATTTTTCTTTTTTTTCTTTTCTTTTTTAATCTTTTCATAGCCATCTTTTTTCTTCCTTTCTATTTTGTCTATAATCTAATCCAGAACTATCATTTTTCTTCCGCCATTTAATCTAATTTTCAGTAACTTCATTTTTCTTCTTCTTTTTCTTTTCTTTCTTTTCTTTTCTTTCTAATCTTGTTCTAATGTTCATAGCCATCAGATTCCTTCCTGCCATTTAATCTAATCTTTCAGTAACTATCATTTTTCTTCTTTCTTTCTTTTTCTTTTCTTTTCTTTTCTTTTTCTTTCTTTCTTTCTAATCTTGTTCATAGCCATCAGATTCCTTCCTCCCATTTAATCTAATTTCAGTAACTATCATTTTCTTTTCTTTTCTTTCTTTTTCTTTTCTTTCTTTCTTTTTCTTCTTTCTTCTTTCTAATTTGTTCATAGCCATCAGATTCCTTCCTGCATTTAATCTAATCTTTTCAGAACTATCATTTTTTTTTCAATTCCTTTTCAGTAATTTATCCATTTTTTCTTTTTTCTTTCTTTTCTTTTCTTTCTTTTCTTTTCTTTCTTTTCTTTCTTTTCTAATCTTGTTCATAGCCATCAGATTCCTTCCCCTGCCATTTAATCTAATCTTTTCAGTAACTACATCATTTTTTTCTTTCTTCTTTCTTTCTTTCTTTCTTCTTTTTTCTTTTCTTTCTTTCTTTGTTTCCATAATTCTTCCTGCCATTTAGCCAATCTTTTCAGAACTATCATTTTTCTTTCTTTCTTTCTTCTTTCTTTTCTTTTCTTTCTTCTTTCTTCCTTCCTGCCATTTTCCTGCCATTTAATCTAATCTTTTCAGTAACTATCATTTTTCTTTTCTTTCTTTCTTTTCTTTCTTTCTTTCTTTCTTTTCTTTTTCTTTCTTTCTTTCTATCTTGTTCATAGCCATCGATTCTTCCTGCCTTTAATCTAATCTTTTCAGTAACTATCATTTTTCTTTTTCTTTTTCTTTCTTTCTTCTTTCTTTCTTTCCTTTTCTTCTTTTCTAATTTGTTCATTTCAGATTCCTTCCTGTCATTTAATCTAATTCTTGTTTTCTTTCTTTCTTTCTTTTTTCTTTTCAGTAACTATCATTTTCATTTCTTTCAATTTTCTTTCCATAGTTAACTTTTTTTCTTTTTTCTTCCTAATTCGTCCAGCCTTCGATCCCCTCCCACCTTTTCAGTAACTTCCTTTTTTTTCTTTCTTTTCTTTCTTTCTTTCTTTTTTCTTTTAATCTTATCCATAGTTGTCAATTTTCTTTAACCAATTTGTTCCTGCCATTAATTAATCTTTTTCAGTAACTTTCTTTTTTTCTTTTTTTTCTTTCTTTCTTTCTTTCTTTCCTTGTTTCATTTCCACCAGATTCCTTCCTGCCATTTAATCTTTTCTTTTCAGTAAATTCGACTTCATTTTTTTCAATTTCTTTTTTTCTTTTTTTTTTTCTTTCTTTCTTTTTTCCGTCCACAGCCATCGATCCCCTGCCATTTAATCTTCCTTCAGTTTTTTTTTCTTTCTTTTCTTTCTTTCTTCTTTTAATCTTATCCATAATTATCAATTCTTCTTTTAAAAGCCATAATTCTTCCTGCCATTTAATCTAACTTTTCAGTAACTTTTTTTTTTTTCTTTCTTTCTTTTCTTTCTTTCTTTCTTCTTTCTTTGTTCTTTCTCAGATTCCTTGTTTAATTCAGTAACTATCATTTTTCTTTCTTTCTTTCTTTCTTTCTTTCTTTCTTTTTTCTTTTCTTTCTAATCTTGTTCATAGCCATCAGATTCCTTCCTGCCATTTAATCTAATCTTTCAGTAACTATCATTTTTCTTTCTTTTCTTTCTTTTCTTTTCTTTTCTTTCTTCTTTTTCTTTTCATCTTGTTCATAGCCATCAGATTCCTTCCTCATTTAATCTAATCTTTTCAGTAACTATCATTTTTTCTTCTTTCTTTTCTTTCTTTCTTTTCTTTTCTTCTTTTCTTTTCTTTCTTTCTAATTGTTCATAGCTATCAGATTCCTTCCTGCCATTTAATCTAATCTTTTTCAGTAACTATCATTTTCTTTTTCTTTCTTTCTTTCTTTCTTTCTTTTTTCTTTTCTTTCTTTCTTTTCTAATCTTGTTCATAGCCATCAGATTCCTTCCTGCAATTTAATCTAATGTTTTCAGTAACTATCATTTTTTTCTTTCTTCTTTCTTTCTTTCTTTCTTTCTTTCTTTTTCTTTTTTCTAATCTTGTTCATAGCCATCAGATTCCCCTTTCCTGCCATTTTAATCTAATCTTTTCAGTAACTATCATTTTTTTTCTTTCTTTCTTTCTTTCTTTTCTTTCTTTTTCTTTCTTTCTTTCTTTCTTTCTAATCTTGTTCATTTTCTTTTTCTTTTTCTTTAATCTAATCTTTCAGTATCATTTTTTTCTTTCACTTTTCAGCCATCAGATTCTTCCTAATCTTTTGATAACCATTTTCCTTTCCATTTAATCTTTTCAGTAACCATCATTTTTTTTTAATCTTTCTTTCTTTTTCTTTCTTCTTTTCTTTCTTTCTTTCTTTTTTCTTTCTTTTTTTCTTTTCTAATCTTGTTCATTTGTTCCTTCCTGCCATTTAATCTACTTTTCAGTAACTATCATTTTTTCTTTTTTCCTTCTTTCTTTCTTTCTTTCTTTCTTTCTTTCTTTCTAATCTTGTTCATAGCCATCTTTTCCTCCCATTTTAATCTAATCTTTTCAGTTTTTTTTTCTTTCTTTCTTTCTTTCTTTCTTTCTTTCTTTTCTTTCTTTCTTTCTTTCTTTCTTTCTAATCTTGTTCATAGCCATCAATTCCTTCCTCCCATTTAATCTAATCTTTTCAGTAACTATCATTTTTTTCTTTCTTTTTCTTCTTTCTTTCTTTCTTTCTTTTCTTTCTTTTCTTTCTAATCTTTTTCCTCTTTTCCCGCCATTAATCTTGTTTTTCAGTAGCCACTGTTCTTAGCCATTCCTTCCTGCCATTTAATCTAATCTTTTCAGTAACTATCATTTTCTTTCTTTTTTCTTTTTTTCTTTCTTTCTTTCTTTCTTTCTTTAATCTTTTCTTCCTTTCTTTCATTCTTTTCTTTCTATTTTTCTTCTTTCTTTTCTTTTCTTGTTCTTTCTTTCTTTTCTTCTTTCTTTCATTTAATCTAATCTTTTTCAGTAATATCATCATTTTCCTTCCTTCAATTTAATCTTTCTTTCAGTAACTTTCTTTTTTCATCTTGTTTCTTTCAATCTGTTCTTAGATTCCTTCCTGCCATTTAATCTAATCTTTTCAGTAACTATTTTTCTTTTCTTTCTTTCTTTTTTCTTTCTTTCTTTCTTTCTTTCTTTCTTTTTTCTTTCTAATCTTGTTCTTTATCAGTTCCTTCCATAAATTTTAATCTTTTGCAGTAACCATTTTTCTTTCTTTCTTTTCTTTCTTTCTTTTCTTTCTTCTTTCTTTTCTTTTCTTTCTTCTAGCTAGCCATCGATTCCTTCCTGCCATTTAATCTAATCTTTCAGTAACTATCATTTTTCTTTTCTTTTTTCTTTTCCTTCTTTCTTTTTTCTTTCTTTTCTTTTCTTTCTTTCTTTCTTTTTCGCTTCGACTTCATTCTTTTTCAATTTTGTCCATAGTTAA